ATACTGATGCTAGTGTTTCTATGCCAACAGACTCTACGTGTGGACATGGTCTGAGTGTGCGCATGTCTTCTTTCCAAGCTAGACACTGGACTGGAATTGATCTCGTCATCAGATCCATCACCATCTACTCTTCCTGTGATTTCTAAGGGGGTGGGTAGGGGCAGGACTTCCCCACTTGGTTCCATCTGGGGGTAGGGAGAGTCTCCATTGTGTAATTCTTCTGTAAAGGGGGATAAAGGTACCATTACTGCGCTATAATCACGCAAAGTAAACTTTTACGCGTTCTTTATTCTTCAGAGTTTCTTTCATTTTTAGAATCACCATCAACAATTATCACTATTAGCATCGTCATATTATCATCACTTTAATTGTCATTCATTCACCTCATGGTCATTACTCATGGCCATTATCATTATCATTATTTCTGCCATTGTTATCATCACTGTCATTGTCACTGGCTGTTATTGTCAATCCCCCCCTCCCCAAACATATCAATAAGAATCTCTAGAGCGGAAGTTAAGCTCCAAAATCTTCATTTCAAGGCTTATCTCCAACTGATTTTAACTACTGACATTTGTCAACCAACACTTTAATTTTCCTCTCTACCCCAACATATTCTTCAATTTGCAGTGTCTGTTTAGAAATTTGCATATTTCTTCACCCCTTCTCTCCGATAAAACCAGAGTTTCCTTGATCCACGTATTCTGCACTTGTAGCCAACAGACTCCTTTATGGGATTTTTTTCTCTCGTTGTACATCTCGTTCAAGTATCAAAAAAGAAACAGTGGGCAGGAAATGAGAAAAGGAAACTTTGAAGTGGATTTTCCCTAACTGTAGATAAAAAAAACTTTCCCTTGCCCATGAATACCGTTTAGTTTATTTCAATCTTATCACCTCCTTGCCGGTGGAACTACAAATAAGACTGGCAGCTTGATATGGGTTCTTGCGGTGAATGTTTAAGACAAAATAACACAGGAATATGACATTACCTTGCGCTAAATCACTGTAGCATTCTTCGCATAAGAATCGCGTTGATCTCATTTTGGGGGTTCGGTAAGCAAAGTTAGATCTCTTCTGAGAGCAACCTCCGCAGAAAACCTGGATGAATTAGAAGCTTGTTACAAACATTTTTAAACCAAGCAGACTTAAAAAATCAAAATATCACTGGAATAAAACAAAAAACAAAAAACAATCAAGTATTCATCCACTAGCAAAAACCAGCAAATCTTGGTCTAACCTATCATATAAGACAATTGGCTTTGCGACAAAAACTGTTTGAAGTCCTGAACAAGCGGGTATATTTTTTGCTATAGTTTCGTTCCATTTTTTTCTCTACCGAGTAAACAATCTCATTATCCAAATGCGCTTCGTAGAGTACAAATAACTCGCAAGACGAGTACATATATCAAGCGACATTTGTACTCCAGAAATATCCGCGAAATTCGCTCGCAATGAAATGACAATTTGGCGTTGTGGATGATAAATCTCTTATTAAACGTTTTGTTGTGTAGTATCGCTAAGTATTTGTACTCGTTGTTTGTATTTTGACTCGCCCTACGGACTCGTCAAAATACGGCACAACTCATAAAAATACTCAGCGATACTACACAACAAAATGTCTAATAAGATATATATCTTGGAGAATATCAGCATAAATAAGAGCATACCCGATCTCTAGCTCTTTTTACCGCTCTCTTCAGATCCTCCATCCACTTGTATTTCTCTTCTTCTGACCCAGCCGCTAAGTGTATTTCTCTCGCCTCCGAGATAATAGTAAATGAATACAATCCATGCATCTCAGGACCACTGTTTTCAAGCTACGAATAAAAGCAAAAAAAAAAAAAAACACGTTACTATCCTTGAGTGCACCCCAGTCCTCTCCCCTCCCTCATTCATATCGGTGGCAGATCAAATTAGCAATGAGTACAACATACCCGTATGGTATCCAGAGGGATTTGGCCTCGCACTCTAAACTGGTTTGTTAACGTGACGCCTTTGCACGTGTAGAGGAGAATATCGGAAAACTGCAACGAAGAACACAACATTTAAAATGGTTGTCAAGAACACATATTGCACAGAAACACGAATTAAGAGTACTTTACCAAGAAAAACATCCTTGGTTGTGGACCTTTCCTATCAATTTTCTGAAGACAGCCTTCTCTGATGAATTCCTACAAAGAGACAAAGACAGATCACACGTGAATAATGGATCCCTCAAATTCACGCCTAGGACTAAATGACAGAAAACAACAACTTAGAGGTCTGAGTCCTCTTCCCCTTCAATTAAGATTATTTTGT